GAGGGCCGGAGGACCAAGTGTCATATACCATTCGACTCAGTTCGACTAGTATAATGAGTCACGCCAAGCAAGGAATGAAGGCGATGGCATCGAACAACCTGGTGACTGGTGCTGAATTTCGTGGGGGCAAGCTGAGCTTCTGCAACGCTTGTGTGCAAGGGAAGCAATGCCTCAACCCTTTCTGCTTTCCGTACCAGAAGTGTCCCGAGAAGAAGGAATCCACCCCTGGTCGTGTATTTGCCTTCCAAGTAAGAGGGGGAAGGTGATCATGACGCTGAGGATGGCACACCCAACCGTCCCGAGGAAATCGAACCGGATGCTGATCAAGATCACGACGCAACTGACGAGACTGTAGACACCACCAAAACCTCCCTTTTTTCTTGATTTGTTTTCCGTCGATCTTGTTTTCCGTACTGAGCACCAATGCTACCGAGGCCAGGGAGGCAGCTCCCACACCTGGACCCTACCTTTCGACCCATCAAGTTATAGACCGAGAACTAACGGAGAAAGGCGTGATCAGAGATTTTATGCCGACATGGGATTAAACCCAGGCCTTTTGGGGGTGAGAGGCAATCACGCTTACCAATAAACCACCCTCGATTATCGAACGCTTTCCAGTCAAGTCTTCGGTCCTGACTACGAGGTCTTTCGTTGCGATCGTAATCCTAACAACAGCCGTAAATCTACTGGTGGAGGTGTCCTTGTAGCTGTCCGTGGAGGGTTGGAGGCAAAGGCCATCGAGAACGATTCATGGAACTATGTGGAGCAGGTTTGGACAGCCATCATGCGCTCTGTACATTCCACCTGATCGAGTCCGCGACAATGAACTCATCGATAATCACTGTCGGTCAGTTTTCAAAGTTATCGAAAAGTGCCACTCCAGTTGATGAGATATTCATTTTTGGTGACTTCAATCTGCCAGGCGTTTCGTGGAGTCCATCTCATAGCGGATTTCTGAATCCAGATACAGAGCTCTACATATCACGCAGGAGCTATTAGCCTTCTCGACAACTACAGCGCAGCGACGCTATCACAAATTAACCATGTAGTTAACGAAAATGATCGTAGTTTGGATCTCTGCTTCGTGAGCACACAGGACAGGGCTCCATTAATTTCCTCGGCTCCTTGTGAACTGATTTCGACGACTATCCTGTTACGGTTTCTTATGACTTCCGTAAAGCTGACCACCGTAGCATCATAGATGTATTGTCTAGCAAAGTGTCTCACCCTCCCTGGCAGACGAGAGAGCTACGTAGGTTGAAGTCAATCAAGAGAGCAGCATTGAGAAGATTTACGAAGTATCGCACGCTTCCTCTGAAACTACATTATGTGAGGCTGAATCACATGTACCAGCGAGTCAGTCGTGAATGCTTTTCAAGTTTCCTATGAGGCATCCAACGCAAACTTAAGCTACACCCGAAATCCTTTTGGAACTACGTGAACGAGCAACGCAGGGAATCCGGCCTCCCATCGTCTATGGAATTCAACGGAGAAGTTGCTGCCACCGTTTAGGATATATGCCATCTTTTTTCCGAAAAGTTTGCCAGTGTATTCACTAATGAGATACTAACTGACGACCATATTAAGCTAGCTGCCAGGAACATTCCAGTAAATGATCAAACGCTGGGTGCAATTGATGTTAATGCTGAGATGATTTCTAAGGCCGCGACTCTGCTCAAGTCATCCTGCAATCCTGGACCTGATAGAGTTCCATCTGTATTTTTGAAGAGACATATTGCTAGCTTGTTAATTCCGCTTCTTCGCCTGTTCCGAATGTCTCTCTCCAGTGGCATATTTCCATCTTGCTGGAAATTTGCGCACAGGTTTCCCGTCCACAAAAAAGGAAGGAAACATCGTTAAGTGCCGTTTCGAAGCTATTCGAGCTAGTGATTATGGAACCGTTGCTGTCCCATTGCAAGTAGTTGTATTTGAGTGCTGATCAACATGAGTTTACTGTCGGCCGCTCTACAACCACCAATCTGCTGTGTCTCACATCGTATATAACCGAAAGCATGTCGGATAGGGTTCAAACGGACGTTATTTATTCAGACCTATCCGCAGCATTCGACAAGTTGAACCATGCTATTGCGAATGCTAAACTCGACAGGCTCGGTGTATGCGGTAATCTTCTGAGTTGGTATCGATCATATCCTACCGGTCGGCAACTAAAGGTTGCCATAGGAGATTGCAGATCAGCTAGCTTCTTCGCCACATCAGGTATAGCTCAGGGAAGCCACATGGGACCGTTGATTTTTATACTGTACTTCACCGACGTGCATCTGGTCATCGAAGCTCCTCGGTTATCATATGCAGATGACCTCAAAATCTTCCTACGAATCTGCTCCATTGCTGACTGTCACTTTCTTCAACGTCAGCTGAATGTATTCGCTAGTTGGTGCAGTTTCAACAGAATGATAGTGAACCCAGCCAAATGCTCCGCTATTACGTTCTCACGAAAACAACAACCGATAATATTTAGCTATGACCTGCTTGGCTCGACAATCGAACGCGTGAATCAGATGAAAGACTTGGGTGTGATCTTGGATTCGCAGCTTTCAAGAACTTTAGAATTCATTTTTAGGATAGCTAAAAACTTCACTGATATCTACTGTCTAAAATCTCTCTATTGTTCGCTTGTTCGATCGACGCTTGAGTATTGTTCAGCGGTTCGGAACCCAAACTACAACAACAGTGCCGAGAGAATTCAATCTGTTCAACGTCGCTTTCTTCGTTTTGCGTTGCGTAGATTGCCTTGGAATGATCCGTTTCGATTACCCAGTTACCGTTGTCAACTTATCGACCTAGAACTTCTCCGGACTAGAAGAGACACAAGCAGAGCCCACGACGCCGATATCCTGCAAGGAAGGACAGATTGCGAGGCTATCCTGGCAATCATCCACGGACCATACAAATTAAAAAAATGTATGGATGATTGTCTACGCATGGGAGGGGGGGAGGTGTCAAGAATCACAAAAAACTGTCTACATAGTTAATGAACAGCCCCTAAACGGGAGCGCAAGCTCCCCGGTAAGTTTCTCAATTTCTTTACTGGTTACGGAGCTGTTTCTGCCGGTCCATGCATTACAGATGTCCCCAACTGTTGCAACGATATTCGTGAGGAACTGGATTCGTTGGAGACGAACCGAGTATGGAAGCTACAACGTTGTCAAGCCGCTCCAGCCGACATGGGTGTCGCATGTGCAGCAGGACGACAACGGCGTGGAAGTGCGCACAAGGCTCGTTTGGTGGTGAAAGGGTACCTTCAGCGTCAGGGTATCGATTATGAAGAAACCTATACGCTTCCGTCGATTCCTGTTCCACCAGATGGACGTCAAGACGGCGTTCCTTCATGGTGACCTGAAGAAAGACATCTATATGGTGGTACCGGACGGCGTAGAAGCTGATCAAGGCATAGCGTGCAAGCTACAGTACCTGTTACACCCCTGCGGAGTGTGACGAACCTCCTTCTATTTAGCAACCTTGCATCCGACTTAAAGATGTCATCAACTGTCATCGTCAATGACGAAGCGCCCAACCGTAAGTAAAAAAGAAAACAGAAGAAAAAGTGAACAAAAGTCACGGTGAGATTTTCTGGCTAGTTTTTTTCATTGAAATTATTACAATTCTAATTTTTTGATTTTAAAACTAGTAATACTTATAGTTAAAAAGAAAGTGATTCGTTAGCAAGAAATTCCGGATAATTGTACTCTAATATAACAGGTAAATTTGTAATGTGAAAATAGTGTGAAAAACTAACCTAAATTTGAACATTGTAGGCAAAGGCCTCCTACTAGCAGTACGAATAGCTGAACAAGTTGCGAAGGCTAAAAAGATACTAAACGTGAGTAATATGTATAACTATCAACTATGATCATGCATTGAAGCTGTTTACAATTAATTATCCTTATTCCTAAAGCCTAAATCTAAATTAAAAGATATGGCACTTACAATTAGGACATCCACTTAAACCTAATGAATTCTTGTATTGAATTTGTCATTAAAGGAATTTTTTAACCCTCCCTCACCATTCTGAAACGGGTTATAAAATCGGAAATAAATCTTGTTTGTTCACGCAACAGTACCTGTTCGGATTAAAGCAGACTCTCCGCTGCTGGAAGGAGCGGCTGAATGGACAGTTGCTCAAGATGGGATTCTTGTATACGAGATGCACACCAGGGGACGAGCTGATCATCATCATTTACGTCGACACCCTATTGATCGCTGGAAGCAAGCTGACTTCGATCATGCGGCTCAAAAAGGAACTCTCTGTCGTGTTCAAGATGACCGACTGCGGCGAGGTGTGCATGAAGCTGATTTACAACCGAGAGGAAGGGACGCTTCAACTTTCGCAAGAAGCCCAATTAATGAAGATCCTGCAGCGATTCGGAATGGTCATCCGATGAAAAAAAAAGGCTCCAGCGACGAAGGAACGATACAGAGAGCTGTTGGGAAGCATGATGTACACCATGTTGTATGTGCACCCGGACGACGGCGTTCGGTTGACTGTAAAAATTCTCTTTATAACCTCGGACAGGATTCTTAGTAAACATTGTATTTAAAAAAAATGTAATATGCATATATTGTAACAGGGTAATAGTACGTTCAGACAACAGAGTTATAACATGCTATAGCATATCTTAATATTGGTTTATGTGTTGCAATTATTTGACAATCGTTATAACATGCTTAGTCTGGCCAGCGCTTAATTTCAAAGATTTCCATAGCTTTCCAAAAATGCTCGAAGATTTGGAATCAGAATAACTCAGAGTCAGAGTCACTTCTACTCAGAGGTATGGAGATTTTTTTTAACTGCAGGAACTCAGTGCTGAGTTCCTGCAGTTTTTATAAATTTCTCATACAACTGAGTAACAGTGACTCTTGATCTGAGTTATTCTCATTGGTAATGCCTAGATGGATTGTTCAATCTTGCTTCGATAGATCCATCATTTGGCTTTCGGATATTCCTCACAAAACGTTCCATTCTGTTCGTTTTAGTTAGCATTTTATTTTTTATTCAACAGAAAATAAACTACTAGAATCGTACTTCTTAATGTCTAGGAATAACGTCAGTTCACTCGCTTCAAACTCCTCTCGCCGCTCGTTCGTGCAATCTTCCCCCAGCGCCCGTCTTCGAGACGGGAAATCCCTCTCCCACCCGTATCAGTAACCTAGCAAGTATAAACGATACCTCAACACAGAGAGAGAGCAGGAACCTCCAGGTCGTCCCCAGAGAAGAGGAAAAGCTTCAATCATGGAAGGAGCAGCAAAATTTACTTCCAATGTGGCAAACTTTGGTGGTCCACACAACCGAAACTTATCGAAAACCAGTACGGAAACACGTCGCCAAAAGTTGATCGACCTAAATGCAAATGCTTCGTGTTCCGCGGGGGACCACTGACTCACTCAAATCTCAAATCACACGGAACGATTAATCCTCATCTTAAGTTAAAATATGTCCTTCTTTTGAAAACAAAAGAACCCCTCCCTCGCTTGTCTTAAGCCCTAAGTTACAGAAACTAAAGTCGTACCTCGACCAGTTCTCCCTTCCTCGTCGGATGCCGAATGCGGATGATATTCGGCCTCTTCTTTTGATGAGCGCCTCTGTACTCTTTGTATTATTCGATTTTGGCAAGAATGTCCGCCTCGCGGAACAGATGGTACTCTTTGGTATCGCCCAGATCGACCTTGGTGCCACCGTACTCGGGCAGCAGGACCTTCTCGCCGACGTTCACCGCCAATGGGACGTGCTGTCCGGTCTTGGCATTACGGGCTCCTGGTCCGACAGCAACGATCGTGCCCTCCAGCACCTTTGACTGGGCCTTCTCGGGCAGAACAATACCGCCCTTGGTTTTAGTGAGGGCTTCCGCTCGCATCACCAAGACGCGGTCCAACAGGGGAATCAGACGCTTTGAGGCCTGCGGTAACGATAAACGAGATAAAAAATGTTGATTAGTTAGCAGGCAGACCATAACCTCAACACTCGTATGCTCTCTGTGTTGTTACCAAGAGGATGCTTCGAGAAAGATGTCAGAACATTGTGAAGAAACATGAACCGGTGTCATTATGTAATCATGCACGATTCGGGTTGGGAAGTTCAGAAAACTTTCAGAAAGTTTAAAGAGAATTTTCAATCATGCAGATTCTTTTATCAGAAAGCAAAAATTTAATAAGAATCAAAATAGGAAAATCAACTTTGAATTACTGAATTTCATCATCCTCCTGACAAAGCCCAGAATGTAGCAAATAGAGAAACCAAACCTACCATTTTTTTAGCAGGGTTTTGAGATTATTCTATGAACACAAAAAAGTGTTTTGAGGATGATAGCAGCCACAAACGCACGAGGCTTTGATTTTTGCACAAGACTTTTACACGGCAGCGGACGATTTTTCCGAGCGAAAACCGGAGAAACGAGAACCACGCGACTTTCTGGAAAGACAACTTGACAGCGAATGAAGTTAAAGAGAGAGAGAACGAAGAGAGGATCTTAGCGAACAAACCGAGAGCAGATTGGAAAAAAATTGTGACGTTTCTAGAAATCGTCGTTGACGATTGTCTCAGAGCCGGGAGACTATCTTTACTCCAACGGTGTTTCTAATTTACGTGTTAGAAAAAAGCAAAAAAAAAAACCTTCTCTCCTTCACTTTCTTACGTAAAACCGCAAACAAAATCAACACACTCGTCAACGCCAATTAGAGACTCTGCTTAAACGATCATGAGACTCGAGTGTGTCCGTGCCTGAATATTTCATGCGTAACTATATTCAAATCGACCCTCACCCCTACAAAGGTTTGAGTCGGACGATTTATATTTAAGATAATACTTAAGTATGACCGAGAGTATGACATCTTAACCAGATTAGCAAAGGAAACGAACTGGTTACATTTACAGATATAAATTATCTCATCAATTTCAGTTCAGTCACAGCTAGGCGTTCACCTTTGTTCATCCTTTTGTCTACCCCAAATATTCACAAGCATTGCCAGCGTTTAAGAGTTCTTGAATAATCAACAAAGCATCCTATTACACTAGCAACCCCACAATCTGATGCTATCATAATTTTCAGCAATGTCAGGAATGCTCACGGGCCCCCGGTATTCAGCCAGAAGACTTTACTAATTCAAAACACCTTCCAAATAAGCTTCTATGTTCATTTTTTTTCATCCAATGTTAAATTCAGACCTCTATATCCGTGATACGTGCACGAGGCTCAAACCTTTGTAAACTTCTCAAAATTACTTTTGTTTTATAACTACTACTACTAAATCAAATATTAAAAATCCATCATCACCATCGTGGCGAACAAAATAGATTTTGCAGTGCTAAAATAATTATTAAAAAATCGTTATGACAGTTTTTCATACAAAACATCGTCAAGATACATAATTTGTCAATTCATAAAAAGAAATTTATTAGTAACTGTTCGAAAACCAGCCTTAACGTGTGAAACGCAATGTTTCTTAAATTCAGTAAGTGTAGTTTTACACCTCAAGTTAAAATTTGTCGAGGCATCGAATTGAAAACATTTATTCCTTTAAAATACAAAGAAATAATGCGTTGCTAGGTAGCGTGAGTGAGCTAGCATTTGCTATACAGATCGTCGATTGAAGTGATTTTTACAAAATCAGATATTGTCTGTTTCATTGGAGACAACAGGTGCGAAATTAAATTTAAATCTCGATTTGAATAGCCATAGGAATTTGCATGGCGATGATTTATGCGCGTGAGAAAATGAAACAGAAAGTATAAGATTTTTCTATCGGTTCTACAAAATTTGGGATGGCAAGATTTATTGTAACTAAATTGACGATCGATCGGGGACTAAAAAAGCTCTTTCGGGGATCTGAATTGGCTGCCGAGATCAACATTGATGCACGGTTTGAGATGGCCAAGGACATATCCCAACTGGTTGAGAAAAAGCGGAACGAAGCGCTTAAGTTGCATACATTGAAGGATTTGAAAATGGAGACACTTGAACGTGTTCCTGCTGCTAAAGGCTGGTTGCTTCAGCGGTGTCACCGAGGAGTAGTTGGATGCATTCAAAAAGTGCTTCCAATAGCGATTCCCGGTGCGGTTTTGTTTGCCGATGTTGCTTCTCACCACTATACTACCCAGTCGTCGTTGCAGGTGTCTTCAGCTACCGTCATTATCAGTACCACCGGAATAATCATATTCTCGGTGGAGCAACAGTCATTGAAAGCCACCATGCCCCAACTACAGCTTAATAAAAGTCAACTTGAACCATTCTTCTTTGCTCCAGACTAGCGAAACTAGACTGGTTCAGTTTCAATCTGTTCTAACCGAAACACAACTCACAGTGTAGTAGCAATAGTAGTGGAGGGTACGGTGTCATCCGTTTTTCTTTATTTCGCAATTTTAGAAGAAAGCATCACAGTTAAAAGCTTTGTTTTTTTTGACGTAAGACTACGTCTGTGATTTTTATATGGGGGTACACTTTGTGAAAACCAAAAATAAGACATGTAACGAAATTATGAAAGATTTTGAACGTTAATAACTCAGCTGCTCCTGGACCAATTTCAATAATTTGATCACCAATCGATCAGAAATATGTTTACGCATCGATACCAATGCTTTCCACTGTTGATTTTCAACAAGAAACTATTGAAAATGTGGTAAATGTCAAGCATTGTCCAAAAGCGTCGAAATAACTAACAAATCCACCAATTACGTACATGCATATGCTGCTTCCCCAACACTGTCATCAGATAATCGTTTCTAGACGAAACATGTTGATGAAGCATTGCTGCTTCCCCAACACTGTCATCAGAGAGTCGTTAGTAGACGAAACAAGTCGAAGTGGCATTCGCCTCTGATCTTCGGGCGTATGTGAATACGGAACATTTTGCACACTCCTCACCATATTCAGAACCACACGCTCTCAACGACCACACAAACTGCTCTCCAGAGTTGTAATCTTGTATCCAAACTTGGAAGGAGGGGTGCAAGTGATTTTGATCCATTCTCTTCATCGACTTTCTGTTTCGTTAATAACTCGACAGCAAACACATTCATTGATACGTTTGTTGTTCTGGATGATAGAAGAGCATAGCAGAAATAGTGCTAAATAGGTTAGTGAAGTTATGGTCATCAAAAGAGGAAACCGATGAAGAGAATTTACTTCCTTTTTTTTTATTCACCCCTTTGCTTCTAAGCCTCGTTCTAAGCCCCTTTAATTAAGTCATCGTCATAGCAATTGGCGTTGACGGCGACTCTGTAGCTCTTCACTCCAATGGTAAAATCCATAAGCAAACGTCAGACTGTGCGTGAAACATGGCGGACTTCGTACTATCTTTTCACTCCACTGAAAATTCGTATAAGAAACTGTCAATCTTTGCTAGAAGAGACGATTTTTCGGCGGTGCCGTCAACGCCAATGAAAACAAGCATCGCACCGCTTTTGGTTCTTGGGTTACACTTGCTCGTTGCAATTCTGCTGTTCGACATTTTCGAAGGACCACCAAAAACATGAAATTACACTATTTTCTTGAGATGCCTAAAAGTCCAATTCGGGGGCGACCCCGGCGTAGTCGTTAAGGCCGGCGCACAATAGATACGTTTTCAGATTTTTTGACAGTTAGCCCATGTATTATCTGTAAAAAAAAAACCCGAAAACGTATGCATTGTGTGCCGGCCTTTAGAATCCATACCTCTCACGCCAAAGTCACAGGATCATAAATTCGCCGAAGTGTTAAGTGCCTTCCTGCTAAAGGATAAGATTTACAAATTTGTTGAGAGAAGGCGTTTAACGAGAAAAACTAAAAGGGAAGGAGCTTTAGCTGGATGGAAACTGATATTCTACGGCCTTCCAACCTGTCGCAGACACCAGTTCAACCCCTGTCCAGCAGCAGACGGGCCGAGACTCTTGCGAATATGGGATTGTCCGGTCCGATTTGCTGATCCAGCTGCCTACACCTCATAATCATCTTCCAAAGGCTTTAAGCCTGTACTACCATCGGCCCTTTTCAGGGCCACCAACATTTTCCAAAAGAGTTAAACTTCTGAACATGTCCCATCTAAAATGCATATCAAAAGGTTCTAATGTGCGAATGTTAAATAGTCAAATCAAAACATTTCGATGAGCCACTCTGATCGAATGTTTTGATTTGACCATTTAACATTCGCACATTAGTCTGTCAGCTGTTTTCTCATTTCCAGCACAGTACCGATTGCCCTGCTTTTTTGTATTTACTGCTACTGATGGTGTACTGCTTCGAATAGCCATTAGGATGTGCGCTGCTGGGAAATCCAACTCGGTTTTAGGGAATCTATGGAGGGTCTTGGCCGAAAATTCGTGGTTGCGTTTATCCGAATCCGAAAATTTGCTATGTGTCAACAACAATGATTTCCTCCACTCAAGTCGACGTACACATACTTCATAGCAAATTTCCATCCAGGAAGACTCATAATATTCATTGGACTCACATATACAAAAGGCACAGATAAATCTCAAATTTTATTTTTTAAACCCGTGCATGTCGCCATTACCGTTCATGAAAAGCCAGAAAACATTAGGAGCGCTGATGTTGATTTTGATCATTCAATTTCAGTGCTAACATTTGAAAACGGCACAAAAGCCATTTGTAAACAAATGGTTTGTGGGCCCTTTACTCACTACTTGAAGTACACCCACGCGACACAACAGCAACATCGGGTAGGGGAAATTTTCCCCTTCCTGACGATGCTGTTGGTTTGCGTGGGCGTTCTTCGGGTAGCGAGTAAAGGGCCCACAAACCATTTGTTTACAAATGGCTTTTGCGCCGTTTTCAAATGTTAGCACTGATTTACCAAGTTGTTTGGTGTGAAAGGAAATTGGGCTTTCGATGCACATTGCAAAAATGGCATTCATTTCAGGCATAACATTTGATAACGGCACAAAAGCATTTGTAAACAAACTTTCTAAGGCCCTTTACACGTGAACCAAAGTACGCCCACGCAAACCAATACCACTTTCGGAAAGGTGATAGTTGCCCCTATCCGATGATGTTGTTGGTTTGCGTGGGCGTACTTTGGATCGCGTGTAAAGGGCCTTAGAAAGTTTGTTTGCAAATGCTTTTGTGCCGTTATCAAATGTTATGCCTGATTTGTTTCTTTAAAGATCGAAAAGATCGTTCGTAAAGAATTTTAACAAATTTTAACCTCAAACAAAAAATCGATCCAAAACATCAAGATTGCTCAAGTCGCCCAATCCTGAACTATCGACGTGTACATGCTGCTGAATATTATTTTGTGTGTTCGATTCGTTTGATCTTCGTCGTTGTCAGTTCTCAAAAGTTTGTAAACAACTGCATCATCATTTTAAAGTTTGTCAACACAATTATTTATTTCAATAAGCTTGAACAGTGCGGCCTAAAAGGTTGCAGATTAGCACTGCAGACCACACGTTCTAATGAACGCCTCTTGTGTGGCATGTCGGACTCGTGGCTCCGGTATGGTGGCCATCTACCATCATCCCAACGGGTTGGATCAAATGTTTACTTCCGTTACCGGAATCGAGGTAAAGCACCATAATTGCTCAAGTTAATTTTCGCTTCATAATAGTTTCGGATTTTTGATAGGTCGAAGATGCGGACCATTTGTGCATTCCGTGCTACGACGACCTGAAGGCAGCACATATCTTCAAACAGAAATGCATTCAAAACAATATCCTTCGAATTAGTCGCCCCTCGACGACCCGATCCTGTCCCATCGAAGAAGCTCACCAAAGTCCAAAAGCAGAGGCTTCTCAACCTTCTCAACCTGATGACTCAAACCCACCAAAATCCAAGCTGATTCCAAATGCTGAAATTTCCACTACCATGACTGAGGCCGACATTCTCGAGGAACACTTGGAAATCAGATCCGATGTGTCGGAGCCAGAGGAGGAGGACGAGGAAGAGGACATTGACACGGAAATGCAAGAGGAAGACGATGTTGACGAAGCGAAAGATCTGCCCGCAGAACCGGATGAGCCGACTGGTATCGAAGATATCAAACCGGCGTGCATTCAATTAGCGGAGGAAGCCATCGTCGAGTCGAATGTCGAAGTCATGCAGGAAGAGCAGTTGATCCAATGCGATGTGTGCAGTAAGGCGTTTAACAAGATAAACCTTCTGAACCGACACATGAAGGCTTGCCATCAGGCGGCAGAATCGACCGACGATGGCGAACAGAGTGCACCGGGAGCGCTGGCCACTCTACCGACGGTGCACAATCTCATGTGCGAGTACTGCTTCCAGGAGTTTACCGCTTTGACTGAAAAATTCGCACACGAAACGGCACACATGTCCGAAACGAAACCGTACAAGTGTCCGCACTGTCAGAGCACTTTCAAGGATAAGGTCGGGCTGCGTAGTCACATACGGATCCACTCGGCGGTGAAACGATACAAATGCCAGTACTGCGACATGCGGTTCCACCAGCGCGGCAATCTGACGGCTCACGAGAGGACACACGTCGGTGCGAAGCCGTTTGTCTGTCCACATTGTGGGAAAGGTAAGGTGGTTTTGAGTAGCTAGTTAGTTTTATAGGATTTCTAAAAGGACTTGAGGGTTTTAGGATTTGCCGAAAGTGGTAACCTGAAAAATCACATACGGTACCACACGGGCGAGCGGCCTTATACATGTTCCGAATGTCCGAAGCGTTTCCGGACGCACTACTCCAGGACGGTTCACTATCGGTCGCACAGCAACGAACGACCCTTTCGCTGTATGGAATGCGACAAAGGCTTCTATTCGTCCGGTAAGCTGATCATCCACCGGAGAGTGCACAGCGGCGAGAAGCCCTATAAGTGCAGTGCCTGTCCGGCGAAGTTTGCCGACAGCAGCGGTCTGAAGAGGCACACCAAAACGCACTGAAGATGTTAATACGGGTGACACAGAAGTTTACAGACAGGATCCATGGTAAATGTAAATCAATTATGGTAACTTTAAATACTAGCTGTGGTGACTCTGATTTCCGAAAGAAAGTCCTCAGATTGTTAGTTGTTCAAAAAGGCTCTACCCCATCCATTTGGTACAACGCCGGCTGCATAAACGAAAAAAAAATGCATTTTATTGCCTTTATAGAATTTTGCTGCTTTTTATTATTATCTGTTCTTCAACGGAATATGAAAGAACGGCTCATGTTCAAAAGGAGGGAAAATGATCATGAGTTGTTATACCATATCCCGAAGAAGTACAGCTCAGAATGCAAAATATCCATTTATCGGTGTAAGTAAAGTTTTTCCGTATTCATGCCGTCGAATGGACAAGTTTTTGGTGTAAGCGAACTTTAACATTTTCGTATGAAATAAAGTAAATAGTAAAGGATGGGGTGTACATCCAAAGGGATACCTTTATGGTAATGAGAAGCATACACTCCCGATCATAAGTTTGAGGGACCGATTTTCGATATTTATAGGTAGGTCATTTAAAAACTACAAGGGACAGCCCTATGGGGTTGTACGTAACGGTGACGTAGGACTACGTGGTCTTATATAATAAATCTTATTTGTTAATTGCAGCAGGAGCTTGTGTTTTTCGGAATTTGAGCGGGGTTCTCTCTGTTTATACTCTTTACTACGACGCGCTTGACATAGATGGCCCACAGCGACTCACGAAGAGCTACTGATTCCAATCAATAGCTGTGCGGCTTCTTCCTCCTTCTATGGATGGTCATGTGGGCTGCAGCTCGCTGCTTGTAGGCAGCCTTTCGTTGTGTATTGGATAACAACACCACTCACTACGCGATGATTTATAATAAACATCGATTGGAGAGACCGGAAGGAATTCAACTTTGAAATCTGTGTTAGGGAAATCGCTTTTCGTAGGCAATCGGTGATTATTTCAATTATCATAGCAACAGTTGCACATTCGTCCAATAGTGACATTTTGGAAAATGATAAAGTCTTAATTTTAACAGATTCGTAGAAAAAATTCCTATCGATTGGCGTATTAAGAATTAAAATCCATCATCTCTGGATCAAAATCGGAGCATTTTCATGCCGCGACCGACCTTGTTTTTTTTTTTAAATTGCACCCCCAATGTTGCCTTAAAGTTCATACATGGTATGTTAGATTTAAACATATCTCGATAGAGCTGGAATTAGGCGTAAAAGCTTTTGTAAACAATGATTTCTCTCGATATTTTTTTAGGAATTCAAGGCACGCCCAACCGGAGGAAGCATTACCCTACCTGATGATGACCTTGACCACCACACACGGTGATTGGAACTGAATCCGATCAACGGTTGAGGCCAGCATTGATAGCTAGCTGCTTGGGGGAATCTTCCCTAATGAAATTTGTATGGTTATTTTGCTTAACGACGTGTTTGGGATCAGCCACACCATTTGTGGAATGGATCAATAATTTGGGTTATCATTCGGATATGGTATTTGTTTTATTGGGGTTCAGTTGTGCGCTGGAGAACACCACCACTCATGACACGGTGATTGAATAAACATCGTTTGGTGAGACCGGATGGAATTCAACTTTGAAATCTGTGTTAGGGAAATCGCTTTTCGCAGTCAATCGGTGATAATTTTAATTATCATAGGAACAGTTGTACATTCGTGCAATTTTCAATAGTGACATTTGCTCAAGTCTTAACTTTAACAGAAGCGTAGGAATATTTCTGATCGATTGGTGATAAAATTATTGAAATTGGTTCAGGGGCAGCTGAGTTATTAACGTTCAAAATCTTTCATAATTTTGTTACATGTTCCATTTTAGGTTTTCACAAAGTGTACCCCCATATAGTAGTCCTACGTCAAAAGAATTGACTTCTCTTAAAGTTACAACATTTTCCGAAATTCACACTTAATATTCATGACTGATTTTCTCAGAATAGGGTCGGCCAAATTTTGAAATGAAAGTGGGAATAGAACCCTTATTCTAAACCCATCGAGATACGTTTGTGAAAGTGTGGTTGACAAATTTAAAATATGTTTTAAATCAGAGTATGGTTTCTCGCTGTAGTAAGTTTAGTTGGAATTTAAGTATAAATAAGTGGATAATATGGTTAGTTGCATAGCAGTGAAGTAAGTAGGCTAGAAAATGGTGAGTTGGACAACCTGGAAAGAACGGAATACCTAGCTCTGGTCTCAAAAGCGACCCAACAGGAACAAGAAGAGGAGGCGCTCAGCGGGCAAGGTGGCTCGACCAAGTAGAAGGCGACCTGCGGACCCTTCGCAGACTACGAGGCTGGCGAACTGTGGCCATGGATCGAGTAGAGTGGAGACGACTTCTTCGGACAGCAGAAGATAACAAGGCCTTAGCCTGATTGGTAAGGTAAGTGATGTTGAACCTGATATGCGTGTTGGATTTGATTATTATTGAAGCTGATGGCTTTGTATAGTGTTGATTTGATTGTTGGGATTGATATCGCTGTTTCTGTTAATGACATTTTTGAAGTTGGCTTTATTGAAGGCGATGTTTAGAGCGTAAAATTATTGACTGCTTTGGCTGAGTGTGAAGCAAACCCCACACGCATCAATATATTGACGCGAAGGGGAATTATTGACAATAATATTGATGATGTGAATTCAGAAATATTGTCAATCCGATATATTGACGTCAATATCGAATGTAGTGACAATACGATTATTGTCAATAAAAGTAATCGTGTAGGGTCCACTTGAAAGCACTGCTCTATTCAATTCATTTTTCTTGATTGTTAGAAAGAACCGGAACAGCAAAGTTTAAAAGTAGAATGGATTTTATTTAACGACTAGCTTGAGTGGAGTCTTGAACAGGAATGAAAAGTTTTTCACCGTTGTTTATTTAAGAAAACTTAGGTTGCTAGGGGTGACGTTCGGTCTCCAAGGAGGTGATCAGCACACTGCGTTACCGATTTACTCCAACACCCCCCCTGAATCGGTCAGTCCTAGGAGGGTCCTCAGTTCGCGGAAACGTCCAGGTTCCAGGGGCTTGGTGAACGTGTCCGCTATTTGGTTTGCTGTATCAATTGCTTCGATTTGAAGTCTTCCTTGTGCCACATGGTCGCGCAAAAAATGGTGCTTTACATCGATGTGCTTGACACGCTTGCTTTCGGTGTTTGTGGCCATTGCAATGCACCCACGGTTGTCTTCGTACACCTTGAATGCCGTGTCCGGTCGAACTTGCTTCAGGTCTTCAAGGATTCCGTGCAGCCACAGCCCTTCGGAGGCCGCGGCACTTAAAGCTGCATACTCGGCTTCACACGACGACAGTGCAACGGTTTGTTGCTTGCGGCTTGCCCAAGACACGGTGTTCCCAAAGACCTTAAAGACGAAGCCACTAACGGATTTCCTATCCTCAGCATCCGATGCCCAGTCAGCGTCTGCGTACCCGACAAGTGCCTCGGCGTCGTCGTTTTGCTTGTACTGGAGCTTCAAGTTCTTCGTTCCCTTCACGTAACGGACCACTCTCTTCAGGGCTTGCCAGTGGGCCTCATCAGGTTGAACTTGGAAGCGCCCTAGGTATCCAACAGCGTAGCATATGTCCGGTCGAACACACAGCATCGTATACATCAGGCTGCCCAGCAATTGACGGTATGGATGCGACACAGGATTCGCAGCTTGTGGTGGCAGGAAACAGCCTTTCTCCATTGGGGTTTTGACATGGTTACAGTCTTGCATGCCGAACTTCGTCAGCACACGGTCCACAGCAGCTTCTTGCGCCAGGTACATGCATCCGGTGGCGCGGTCGTATCGGATCTTCATTCCAAGGAAATGATTAACCACGCCGCAATCCGTCATCTGGAGCTTCTTGGAAAGAGCACGCTTGATCTCCTTCACCAGGTCCAGTCGATCGCCAGCAATGAGCAAATCGTCCACGTAGATGATTATGTATACCCCCCCTCGATCGTCGATCCTGGTATATAGACAGTAATCATGCCGGGAACGGGTAAAGCCGAAATCCAGTAGAAGGTCGTTTAGCTTGTTGTTCCAACAGCGGGGGCTTTGCTTGAGTCCGTACAGCAATCGATCCAGCTTGCAAACGAAGTTCGGCGGTGCTGCAACTCCTTCGGGTATGGCCATGTAGACGTCTTCTTCAAGCTCACCGTAGAGGAATGCGGTCTTCACATCGAGTTGGTGAACGTGCATCCTTCGGTGGGTTGCTACAGCAAGAACGGTTCGTATCGTGGCTAACTTTGCTACGGGGGAATATGTTTCGTTGTAGTCGACTCCGGGCTTCTGTTGGAATCCCTTCGCCACCAAGCGCGCCTTGTAACGGATCGGTTCGCCATGCTCGTCCGGCTTGATTCGGAAGACCCATTTCGATTTGAGCGGAACCACACCAGCAGGGCATCTCACCAATCGCCAAGCATGGTTGTCCGCTAGCGACTGCAGTTCCTCACGGACCGCTTGCTGCCAAAGAGCTTCGTCGGCTCGTCCAGCGATCTCCTTGTACGCCTCCGGGATATCGAAGATCGAACGCTCGGCCTCATCTCGTCCAACGGAACCGTCAAATAGTACATCGGAAACGTTATGGGGAACATCTGCAGAATGGGATTGCGCGGCAGTGAAAATTTTTCCAACCAGAAATTCTTTCAACTTACCGGGGAGTCTGCGCTCCCGTTCGCTGCGCCTCGTTGTTTCCATTTCGAGGTTTGAACCACGGTCTAGTTGCGAAGGGAGCGCTCCGGTTTCTTCAACACCGTCGTTGTTGAAGAATTAGTTGGATAGTGAACCCTATTGCAATTATTCAGCTAGAATAGATTTGTCTCTTTTTCTCCAATGCAACACTTTCGTTGCTTATCAACCTTATCAGCTAGAGTAGGTAACGCAGATGAGCCAAAAGGCCTATTGAAATCGTGTTCCTTCGGTTCTATACACACTCTCTCTGATACTGATATAAGATAGCCAGAAATCAAACAAGTCAGTCAAAAATATAGCTTCAAATCGAACGCATCTACCGTGTTATTCTTACAAAATAACAGGCGAGCAATAAAAAGTCAAGTGACCGTTTTCAAACCCCTCAGTTTCACCGCGTAGTGTTAGTCGCAAATCCGAACAGTCGTCTTCAACCTCGCCTTCTT